ACCAAGATCAGATCGTAGATGGTAGCTTTCTTTCCAGTTTTTTTTCTTGTTGTTGTGGTTTGATTTTTGTTGTCTCAGCCAAAAAAATTTTCCACCAACCAACTGATTTAAATAGAATAGGATATTTTCTTTACTGTACACAGGGGAAGAATTGGTTTGGTTTTTTTATTTTTTTGGAAAGACCAGATTTCCTGTAATTCACTGAATCTGTGTAGAAGGTACCTGCATAAAACATGATAGCACCTTTTACAGTACTTGTATTCTTTATGCAATAAGATAGTTTTTTATTTCTTATTCAGATTCCCAAAGGAACTGGTGCCTCCTTGATGCTAAACAAGCTGTTGGGAGGTCCTCCTGTTTTCAGCATCATCTTGATCTCATGAAAATCTCCTGGAGAGTTACATGTTATGGTGGCAGAGCATACTTTACCACCGATTATCTGAACTTTGAGAGGTCACCAATGAATTGTTTGTCAGCTTCCTTCACTGGCTGAGAATGATTGTTCTCATGGTTTCTCTGTTGAGCTGACTTATCTTTGCATGTTTCCCTTCAGTGTTTTGGGAGTGCATCTGAATCCATGTTGCTATGCAGAAAAGCCAAATATTTTACAAATTCCTTGGGGTAAGTGTGATGTGATAATCTGACCCTGTCAGCAGTGACAAATCTTTCAGTCTCTGGGAGGTGAGAGCGAAGAGGAGGGTGTGAAGAATGAGGTGCATACACTTTCAAACCTGGACTATCTGTTTCTTCTGCTTATATTTGACTGGCATGGAGACCACTGTTGGCTAAGGTGCATGACCCTGAAGTCCAAGAGATCACTTAGAAGCAGATATAAACGGCCAGAGTATTAGGAGCTGCAGTTTTCTTGCTGATCCTGGCCTTTATTCATGTTCCTGCAACTCTGGGGGGTGAGCAAAGACATGGCTGGGGAGGCTCTGTGCCAGGTGAGGATTTGTTCACCCGGGAGGGATCCCTTTAATTAGGATATGCTGTCAGGTTAGGGCTGCTTGTTTGTTTGGCTGGGTCAAACTAGCTGGAAAAGGGGCTGGTTTGAATGTACAGCAGTAGCTAAATAATTAATTGAAGATATGGGGGGCACTCCCTGGAGAATCAGGGTAGGTTTGGTTGTTGTAATCCCTTGCTAATGAAGCTACCAATGCTGTAAATGGCAAAGGGAAAAAAGAGGCTCAGGCAGAGCAGCAGAATACCAGAGGACAAACACATTTTAAACCTTTTCTTGCTAACTTGGTAGATAGCTTTGATAATTTCACAGAAACTAATTCAGGAAAGGAATGACATCAGAGAGGCAAAGAATCCATTTTATCCTCCTTTTTCCTCTTTTTCTAATGTTTTCTTCAATACAGATATGGCAAAAGTACAGAACAACAGCATGAAAAAATAGAGATAGCAATTTCAAGAAAAAAGGAATGCACTAAAAGCTACCTGCTGTCTACCCCATTTCAGATAAAAGTAGTGAGTCTCACTGCACGTTTTAATCTCAAGAATTCAAACTTTAAGTTGAAATGTTTTATTCATTGAAATTTTGGGATAAATTTAAGAATAGGCAGAGAGAGAGGAGAAATAGGTAGGGACTAATCAAGGACTAATTTGTTTCAAATCTGTTATATCCAAATATCACAGAGAAATGCCTTAACATAGATGTTTTATCAAAGGAAAGCCAATTTGAGATCATAAAACAAAAGATTAAAAATGTCTTAATAGAAGATTAATAGAAACATAAATAATCTCAAATTTTCTAGAAGAACAAGGAAAAGAGCCTCAGACGAGACACTTAAAGAAAAGAAAATTGTGCCTAGTAATCTTGAAAGGAGGTAACTGCAATTATGTCATGCAAGACAACTAACACAAGCTGAAGCTTTTCTATCCCTTCCTTCTCCCTCATTGCTCTGGGGCTGGGATTCTGCACTCATCATCTGCCATTGGTGAAACGGCCGTGCAGAGGCTTTGCCAGGAGCTGTGATGTGCTGGAACTTCACAAAGGGTGAGGGAGGTCTACACCACAGAAGAAACACCCCCAAATCTGACTTTAGACATCCCCTAGAGATCACAGAAATCAGACACAGCAGTGTGGGGTGTTAAAGAGGAATTGGCATGGTGGAGGTAACCACATGAGTCACACAGCTTGGGGTGGTCAAAAGTCCAGTCACAGTTTATCAGCACCTTCCTCAAGGAAGCCAGGAACTGACTGTAAATCAGGAACAAGTTTCTCTAAAGGCCCTGGATGAATTTTGCTTACTTAGCAGTTTAATTGCTAAGTCTTTTGCTCGTCTCTACCTGTCTTCAGCCATCTCTGATTTAAACAGGTGGACCCTATTTTTAGGCTTGTTGTTGAACACCCCTGAGACAGTGATGTGCTTCATTATAGGGCTTTCCTGTGATCCCAATTTTTTAGAAGTTTAAGTAGAACCAGGTGGTATTTTTCTGTCATATCATACTTAATGGGCAATGCTTAATATGCCACAGAGCTTTGATGCCTACCTCTGAAAAACAAAAAGGAATAGACCTTCTAATATGTGGAATGAATGTAGTAGCCAGCTCCTCGGATGGCTCACAATTTTTGTATGGCTTGGTTCCAGTTCCATGAAGCTTTATTGTGCTCAGATAATAGGCACTAGCACCAAGGCCTGCTCCAAAGGCCACCTGAAGCCACTAGAAAGGCACTCTTGATCATCCTGCTTTGAAGAGTTGCCCCCATCCTTGTATTTGTCTCTCTCAGTCTGAAGGGTGCATGAGGACTGCAGCCAGAGGAGACACAAAGCTCTGACTGAGGGACTGAGGGCACCAGGAGCCCAGGCAGACCTGGGAGCAGCTCTGTGATGAGGAGTGGGGTTTACTGCGTCAGACAGTGTCACACAGGCAGTGGGCTGCTTTTTTTGTCCTCAGCAGATGCTTTTACATGGACCTGAACTGCAGTGGTTGGACTTGAGTCAGAAACTTTGAAGTGTGGGGGCTTTCTGATACCTTATACTGAACTTTGAAACAAGTACCTAAAAATCTATTGTATTTCTTTAGGAAGTCAGTGTTTTTCTTACTCAGATAATTATGTGTCATTATAAGCATGCCTCTATAAAACATCACAAAAAAGAAATTTAGTTCAAATACTATAAGGACACAAATATGTAATACAAAAATTACCAGGGTGGATTTTTAACAAAATTTTTGCTTACTTTTTCCCTAGTGAATGCTCTCTAGTTCCTCTCAATGGTGGTAACTGTTTACATTCATTTATACATATTCATATTTATGCATTCATTTATATACATATTTATGCATTCATTTATATATATTACATGCAAAAGCAAAAACATGGGGAGACCTTTTAGTCAGCTGTACAAAAGTACCTACTGCTGGTCTTTATTTTATAATTGAGAAAAAAAGGAAAAAATCCAACCAGATTACTAGATCTCCATAGAAAACCAAAGAAGCTGCAAAGTTCATTGTAACAACATACCATGACTGGAGCAGAAGCTGGACATTATACAATCAAGAGAGGTTAAGAAGAATCTGTATTAGGTTGTCACGGTCAGCAGCTACATATTTTGATTTATCTTTGCCTTTCCTGTTCCTTTTGCTCATCCTGATGGGACTGCAGCAGCGTTGCCACACCTGGGGAAAGGATGTGGTCTCTTCGTGGGGACTGCAACACAAAATGTTTTCTGTTCCTCTCTTTGCTTTTGCTCTTTGGGGAAAACTAATTTAATAATATACTCTGCAAAGAGTATGGGCCCCCAAAGCAGCACAGGCATTTTTTATGCCAAAACCCCCTAAGAAACTCAATACCCCTTGGATATACAGCTGCTATTGCCTTAGGACTCAAGGCAGGACAGCTTTTCTACTGAGGCACCAGACCCAGAATCACAGCTAACATCTTGCACTTCCCACACCAGTGGTCCCTTGAGGCTTGAGGAGGAAACTGGACTATGAATAACGAGGTACCTGAACAGCTGGTGACTCACTGGAAGTCTGTGGTCTGAGATATTGACAGTCTGCCAACAATTTGGTCATGGTTGTCAGTGAGAGCAAAGATAAGAGCGGAACCACAAAGTGGTGTTGATTTTTAAAGGTCAGCAGACTTGTGGTTCAAAGTCACTGTGGGAGCAATCTTCTGGATTTTCAGAGATTCGCTGATAAAAGGAAAACTAAAAAAAATGTGGGTTATGTCCTTTTAATACAAAATACCTACAAATTAGAATTCTGAATACAATGGCCCAAACATTACTGCATATTCTTCTTTGTGTTTCCAATGTGGAAGTTATTTTGAAACATTTCTCATCATAGGAATACCAAGTTTATGGGAATATTTGCTTGTGCATTTGATTGTCTTCATCCCAAAGGTGATATAAATAAGTTTATGCAATGGGATTACCAGGAAGAAACCAATGAGCCCTATTTGCTTGTAGTTCATCATCTGTATTGAAGAAGGTGGAAAAGCCACCAGAGTTAACAAATGTGTCTGAAAATCATGCTATCTCTTTATTGTAGTCTTACTGATCTTTACCAAGTTGACAAAATGACATTCAACTGGTAAATATTGCTAGTAATTGTGTACATTAATGCAGCTAATATCACTGGGGTTTTCATTTGACACAAAACAAATGTAACAAAAAAACCAAATCAAATTATCCTCAATATAAATGAGTTATAGTATGTTCACAGTGCTGCAGCCCTGGAAAAATGGAATATTCTAAACCAGCTAAAAAAGTCTGAACCCATGGGAAAGCTGTAGGTCCCGTAACTAGAGATGGTTAGATGGAATAATTTATCCTCCAGGTGAGTCTTTCCATCTCTGACAGCATCTGTCTCATTTGTTATTTCTCTGCCTCCTACTTTATCTGGCTCACAGCTGTTACCCTCCCTGCATTTTTGTGAACTTGTTAACACAATACTAAGATCTTTTCCCTTTTCATGTCTTGTTCTGTTGAATTACTCAGTCAAAAACATACATTAATCAAGCTTAATTTCTTCCTTTTGCTCCACAGATTCAGGCAGCAATTATTGCTTAAGACACCATCTCTTTGAAGAGTATATATTGTACAAAAATGCAATAATGCTCCATTTCAGGTAGGTAGACCAGATAATCTTTTAAATATTACTATACTGTTCCTAGCTTGATTTTCTTTTCAGACTCAAAGTAAAATCATTAAAAATATCTTTTGGAATATGGGCAAAAATAAGAATAGATATCAAATATAAGCTGACATAAGCCCGTTTCATCCATACTGAGAAATTCCTCACTTTCTGTAGAAAGTTTTTCAACTTCTTTGTGGCACAGCAGAATTAAACTTAAAACTCATCCTTCCTTGCTGTCATTTCATCGTGCAGAATATCTGCTCGCTGCAGTTGTGGAGCTGACTGCTGTAGAGGTGAAAAAAGCCATTGTTCGTCTTCGTACTTCCTTGTATTGAATGAGTCCCTGACACTGAGAGTGAGGTACAGAAAAGTAATGTGCAAACTTAAATTGTGTGGGTGAGAGGACCACTCTAATACAGTCACTGGGTTTTTTCTTTGTGATTCTTTGAGCGCTTTGTGATTTCCTTAGCTCTTCACTGCCTTACATAGACAATATTTTATCAGTAGGGTAACTGATGCAGAGCCCTTCTAGAGTTATCCTGACTTACTAAAAAAAAAAAAAAAAAAGGCTGTAACTTTTGTTAAAGAGAAACTCAGCCTGTCCTGAAATACATTTTTCTACACCCTTCTAAATTGTGGCAAGCCTAGTTCAAAGTTACCAGAATATGGCATTCTTACTTGTACTGAGTAGACTTTTTTCTTTTTTTAATGTTAAAAATTCTATAATTACTTTTTTTTTTCCTTGGGGACTTATAATGCTAATATTTGAAGTGAGGTACCATTTATCTAGATAGTGACTGCAACAGTAACATTGTTCATTAGAATAAGATGGACTGACTTACAGCTCTTGCTGTCTTTTTTTATTCTCATGAGCTTGTAACACCATGCTGAAGATGAAAAGTGAAACTCTTGGGATAAGAAAAGCGCTTTTCTGGTTGGTTTTGTTTGTTTGTTTGTTTGTTTGTTTGTTTGTTTGTTTTCCCTTTCAAGGAACACAGGACACTCAAGGAAAATGTACAGGAGTTGAATGTTCTGTACAATTTCTTAGAAAACTATTTGTGTGGCTCCAAAAAAGGACTCTTTGATGGGTCACTTCCTCATAACTAAGCAACACTGTGCTATAGAAAGCACATGTCAAAGGATTTCTTCTTAGCCAGATCCTCCTCTGCTTGTCCACTGCTCCACTTGTAGATCTTCTTGTCTCTAAAAAGTGGTAGCAAGTCTAATAGGTTCACACTTCAGGCTTGACACAACTCAATCTTTGTCCATCACAAGATGAAAAATAATTGAACCAAGGCTTCCTGGCATCTGACTAGAGACATGGAGTATTCAGAATGTCTCAGCAAATTTAAAGTTTTTGGTTCTTCACTAACTAAACCCTTTACTTTATATGTATTAAGTCAAAATGTAAAAAACCCCGAACCAAACAACTACTAACAACAACAAAAAAAAAAAAAAAAAAAAAAACACAAAAAAAAAGATTCCAACAAAAACCCCCAAACCCTTAATTTGTAGATGGTAGTATTTGTATTCCTTTGAAAAATCTCTTAACAGCATCAGGCAATCCAACTCCTCTAGTTTTTTGCAAGAAAAAAAATAATAGAATATTTAATATATTTAAATTTCATATAATAGAAAATTTGCCTTGCCTTGCCTCATTGTTTTTTGGTTGGCTGGTTAGTTTTGTCTTGGCCTTTCTGTGCTCATGGTATTTTCCTCCTTAATCATCCTTCAATTTGGGATTGGAACTCAATCCCCACACTAGGTTCAGAATTTTGCTGAATTAATCTGTTGTTGCTTGAATCCCTGAAGTGGGTTCTATTTTATTATGGAATGCTTAGGAATTACTGAAACTTCTGAGACTGTTAATGAGAAGCTGGTAGTCCAATGATTAATTAATATATTGTAGTCTCTTTTACTTGGTTTTAGTTCTGTACCATTGCCTGGGGGGACATATCTCTTAGGTTGTCTGGCAGCAGCCTCATTATTAACAGAACTGGGCCATAACTTCTTCAAATAAAATATTTTCATTGATTTTAAAAGAGAAATTTTAACTTTGAACACTCTATTTAGTTTCATAGCTGTCTTTTTGTGTCATTGTTGTAACACTGGGACTATGAGGTCTGCTCTACAAGGTCACACCACTTCGTGCTGTGCATCATTAGGACTTGCAGGTCAAGCACACTTGGGTCAGGAGCTACACTCAAAAACAACAGCAAATACTGAAGTTTAAGTGGATGGCATTAGTCCACAGAGGTCAGAGTAAAAGTACCCAATGTCATTTTGATTCAGGAGGGAGCATCTTTCTGATACCTTTCATACAAAAACCCAAACAATTCCAATATTTAACTTGCAGTCACGAGAGTTTAGGACCACAGACTCCTTCAGATGTGCAGCTTACACCCAGATCTTCTTAAAATCAAGAAGAAAAAGGACACGCAGATAAGGGCCAGTGAGTAATTTTAAAAAGGCAGTCAAAACGTTCAAGATTACCTGTTGGTGTCTGTTGGGCTGGTGGAAGAGCAATATATATTCTACATAACTACATTAATTCAATAAACTTTGCATTTCTGAAGGGTGTGTAAATTGCTGTAGGTTATTCAGAGATTTGGGGTTATTTCCTCTGTTTTATCAGTTCTTAATTTTCCCCTTACTTATTTTCGCACTAATTTTTGTCTCTGATATTTCACATTAGGAGGTCTTTGTCTTCACTGTTATTGACTTTTGGAATCATTTGTTCCCTGTAGTGTAAACTGCACTTATGGTAATGCACATCATTCCTCCTATAATATGGAGAAATTAAATCAAATATACCAGGATATTCTTGTATTGGATATTTGCACTCAGACATTTAAGAAAGAAAGTGAAGGCCAAGTTGAAAGATCTTTAGTGACTTGACCCAGAAGCTTCTGACATAGGTGCCCCACAGCTCAGTGTGTGTGCCTTTGCTGCATAAAAATGGATCAGCAGTCAGAGGCATCAAAGACTGGCTTTGACCCATTCCTCTATAAACAGTTATTTCTCACTAGGTTATTGCAGGTCACTCATATTATAATTTGAATTTCAAATTTCTATGATCTAAAAATGATCTACAGACCTGTATGATCTACAGAATCAATGGATATTATGGACATGTTTAATAAAGGAAAAATTGTATCAGTACTTGGAAAATTATGAAAATATCAGTTTCCTGCACAGATCTAAGATTTATTGTTTCTACTAATGTCTGTATAAAGAGAATACATATATATATATGATTTCTCCAATGACTTTCGAACTGTTTTGCTGAATTTCACATGGAGATAAAGGACATAGATACACAACTGTCTAACAGGTTTGAAGTTGAAAAGTTGACTAGGAAAAAAAAGAGGGGGGACCAGTAAGGGACAGACTAACAGGATCACATCCTCAATTGCACTAGACAGACCACCTCTGAAATAAGTGTTTTGGCTGCTTCAGCCAAGGGAAAAGGATTGGTCAGAGCTTAGTTTGTTAGCAAATTCAGCTATAACTCATCTTTAATAAATCAGGCTTTGCTTCTTCTACTGGTCTCAGAACTGTTTGTAATATGTTTATTTTAGGGTCCTGTGCCTGCCATAAATCTGAGGCTGTTTATCAAGCAGTGACAGTGATGTATTGGTATGACTATATTGGTTCCCAGAAGTGGGACTGTAGACATGCTGAACAAACAGAGTTCATGTTTCTCTTTTGGTTTTTTTTTTAAAAAAAAAAAGGATCACCTATCATCACATTCATCTGTGGCCGGAGTCCATGAGTGGGGTTTACTTAATTTTTGCTGCGTGAATTTCAATTAGTGTGCTTCAGTTTATTTTTTTTCCCCCTGATGATGTAACTTAAACAATATAAATTTTTTCTCAACAACATGGGACTGGACTGGATCTCCTGGGCTGACTCTAAAAGAAGCCTTTTCCTTTCAAGATTTTTTTCTCTGTTTCAGCAGAAGTAGGAGAGTCTTTTCCAAGAATAAAAGTAAGGGAATTGGAGCAGGGCAGAGAAGGGTAAGGTGCCTGGGCAGGAAGAAGAGAAAATAAAAGACCTGAGGAGTGGCTGAGACCTGAGGATGTTGAACAGCCTGCACCCAGAGGACCAGAGGACAAGGGCATACATTTGTTTCTCTGATGCCAGAGAACACTTGCAAAGGCCACTATCCAACCACATTTCTTAGGTCATACGGGATAGAGACACATGGTTACTTTTTAGCCAGGGTGGTTTTATATCAAGGTGGCCTCTGTACGATGATGCTTCAATTCTGTGTGCCCTGATACTGATTTTTGAAGACAGCCTGAATTTTGGATTTGAATAGCTGACTTTGTACACCTAACCTTATTGTCTTAACATAATATGTGTGAGTTAATAGAGATATAAGATTAAGGGAAAAAATGCCAAAAACCAAAGCCTAAGTATAAACAATGCAGCTGGCATGAACTTCAAACTAAGAGAGAGACAGGGCTTTTGCTACCTGCTCGTTTCCTTCTTCCCTATCCACAGCCACATAAAATGTGAGTTTTTCCTTAACTGGTGTAGGTTTCCTTTGCTGGCAAGGCTAATGGAGAATGGAAACTCAAGGGCAGCTTTTTTTGTTGCACCTGCTGTGTAAATAGACCAACAGCTTAAATATGGTCAAAGAAAGGCTTTTCATCCACCATGATGATTTATTAAACTGTGAAATGTGGGATTGGATAAAAGGAGGAGCAGAAACAGTTATGAATGCTGCTTCTATTTTGATAGTGATGCTCTCAAGTAAGGCTAAGACATGGAGGTTTTGAGCTCTACAGTGAGAAAACTTGGTCTGAAACAATTTTACATCTCCTTCTCCAGATCCCTTTACATCCTTCCTTGTCTGTGCTAGCACACACTCTCTGATCTCCATTCAAGTTATAAGCACACAGATTGCTAAAGCCATCTTTTTTTCCCTTTTGACCTGATTATGACACTTCCAGCTTTGAAACATTATTTATGCTGTCTTCTCTCCATTCTTTTCTTCTCTGTGCCATCTCCTTCAAAGACCCACACAATTCTTTTTCCTTATTTAATCCTTCTGACATGCTTCCAAATGCCCTTAGTCCTTTGCAAGTGCTTCCCAGTCTTTTCTGACAGCTTAGATGAGAGTTGGCTCATATAGTTCCTATTATTTGCAAAATTTTTCACAGTGTTTGGAGATGAGGTCTGTCTGAGAGAGAAAATGTCTTTTAATCACTTCTGGAAGGTTTTTCTAAAGCTTCCTGTGAACCTCTTTGATTCACAACAAGGAAAATATGGAAATGAAATGGGAACATGAGTGAGTTCTTATGCTGTATTGTGGAAAGGCTGGGTAGCAGCCTGTTGGAGAGAGATGGAGTCCTGAAATCCACACAAACATTGCCTTTGGCTGGAATGTGTCCTTTGAGGTTTGTCTATCATTGGCATAAAATCTGTTTTAAACAATCAAATGCCAAAATTACCATCCCACACTTACCTGGATCTCATGCTGACCGTCTAGGGGAAAAGTTTCTCCTAATGTGAAAACAAAGCATGGTTAATAATGATGATACTTGAGAAAAAGAATATGGTCAGATACCAAGTAAAACTGAGATAGCCGTTTCTTCCAGAAACTCCTTTCTTTCAAACCATTAGGTGCAGTGTGGATGCAGTGGTGTTAAATCTTCTAATATAATGGAGAATTAAAAAAAAAAAAAAATCAAAAACAGGGAGAAAAGTTTTTTGAACAGGAATTGAAGTTTGTCTGTGCATCACCACGGCTTTTCCTCTTTCTGCTGGCCAAACATGAAGTGCAGGGCTTTAAGGGACCAGTTTCACAGGCACACACGTGGTGAGGCAGAAGGTGTGTCCCTCAGTCACTGAGCTGCAGCCCAGCGCCTTCACTCCAGGTTATATCACACCTGACTGAGTTCCCTTGTGACTCTGCAGGGAAGACAAATGTTTATGGGATCACAGCAAGCTGAGCTCCCCAGACACACATCCTCTCAAAGTGTGCCTGCTTCTATAAAGTCAGAAAGCTGTGATTAATAGGAATAGCACCAGACTTTAAGGTGCACTTTATTTCATTGATGAACTTTGAGGTGTCTCCTGCAGTAACAGTTTTGTAAACTGTAATCGTTAACATCGCTTATTCGGGATTTACCGGAGTGACTAACGATGTCTATTTTTTCAGGCTGCTACAGGGATAAATAACTGATGTTGAAGAAGCAAATCAGGATCTCTGTGGAAAAAAATAAGAAAAGAAAAAAAATAATTGTGTGTGGGTTTTGGAACCAGCAAATCATTTTTCTGAGGTGCCTGTAAAAGTACATGGTGTGATGTGACTGTTTTATAAAAGAGGGAAGGATGATGTGTGGGCTCCATTACATAATATTATTGCAGAGCTTGAACGGTGAAGGGGCACAATGAAAAAGGGATATCATGGAAATCAATTTGCAAAAATTAAAGTGTTTGTTCAAAACCTCCTCCGTAACAGGATTAACAGCCAAGGAAATTAAAAATTATGTAAGAGGAATAGCTGAAGAGATAATCCAGGATGATCCAAAGGATTTTGCAGAGATCTCTGCAATGTTAGCAATCTTGTCATTAAATCTAACAATTTAATGAGATACATTCTTCATTGGTACAAGTACAGTTCCATGTACATACTTAATGCGTTTTTTATTTTGACATAGATCTAAGCCCGATACACTTGTTTTAGAGTAGCATATTGGGCATCAGTACACGTATATTTAGCAGTGCACTCCTGTTGAAGACAGTATATCTGTGATGATTAAAAAGCCCAGGATGTGGCTCATAAACCATTACTTTCGGGGATGTCTGAAACAAGTGCTTGAAATCCTGCTTCATACCCACAGTGATGTATAGCACCAGCTTGTATCTGCAATTTCATCTCTCTCTTGGTGTTTGGTGCTGTCAGGCATTTTGACACATTCTACTTTTATTGGCTGAAAAATAATGTAATAGTAAATAAGAATAGAATGAGGCAGTTGCCTTCACAAAAAAAAAACACTTTAGGAAAGGTGTTGCGATTTCCTTGATGATGATTAAATTGTGCCTCTTGAATTTGCATGAATATCCTTGTGAAGCTACATGACTGTTTATATGAATGCAGTGAAGACAATTTGGGACCATCTGCGTCTCACAGGTCACACCAGGGGCAGCATGTGACAAGAGCTGACTCTTGGCCAGTTTCTTATGTGCTCTGTTACTGTAAGTCTGCTGCAGTAGGAATGTGTTACAAAAGTCAATGAGTGATTGCTGCCCTTCCCTCTTCTGCCTTTTGCTCTCTTTTTATTCTTTACTGCTCCTGGAGCTTTCTTGAAGCAAATTGAGTGCTGCCCTTAGCAACTCTCCTTGAAGTTTGTTGCTCCAATCAATCTCTTCTTCCCATGAATAATCCCAACTTTATTTCCTAAATTATTAATTTTTCTTTCACTTTGGGCTTCCCTTGCTTCAGCCAGCTCTTTTTGCAACACAGCACACGTCTCTTCCTCTGAATGTGAAGTGTGCAGATCAACTCAGTGTTTTATAATGTCCTAATTACTGTACTCACAGGTTACTGGGGTATAGCAGTATGCCAGAGGGTCAATGAACCTTTTAAGTTAAATGAGGAGATGTATCTTCATGGGACCTCATTAGAAGGTGAAGTTAATAAAGACAGAAGGGAAAAGAGCCAGTAAGAAAGGCAGATACCTTCAAAAGCTGTCAAAAGATGTTGTCTATTGAGCTCTATTGAGCTCTTTTTTGGGACTAGCTGGGCTTTGCCAAGAGGTGTAGTGTGAGGATCTTTGTGAGAGCCTGATGATGGGGGCTGGATGTTCCCAAGGGGCAGTTCCCTGGGGAAGCCAAGGATCTACACCTGCACATCCTTGTGACACATCCCAACAGGAGAGACAGGAGCCAGAGGAACAGCAAGGAGATTAAATTACTGCTTCCATGGTGTTGGGAGGCTAAGCAGAGCATGGGGAAGCAGTAGAAACAGTTTCCTGATGTTTGCTGCTTTAACACCACCCCAGAACCATGTGCCAGAGAAGGGGAGGTTACTGGAAGCAGAGACAACTTCCAGGGCAAATAAATCGGAAAAGCTCCTGTTGGAGAGCACAGAGACTGTTAGGCCATACATAATGGGACCCCTACATTTTTATTGAGACATTCTGTTGGGATTTTGAGGTATTATTCTGGAGCACTGGAAGAAAATAACTGCTCCAAGACCCAATATTTCTGAATCATTCAGTTACAGTGTTGCTTTTAAAAATAGCACATGGAATGGAAATGGATGTTTTCTCTCCCCACACAGCCCTGGGCAGAAAAAATCATGGTGAATTTGGAATGGTGTTTGTTGACACCACTGAATTGTATTTGAAAAAGAAATTGCATTGCACTGATTCTTTGATTTTTAGTGATTCATTACTAAGAATAGTGTCGTGGTTTGACACGGAAAAAGAATTTTTCTCAGAAGGAAGAGGTCAATTTGGATATTGAACAATTGAAGGTAGACAAGCCTCTGAGAACACAGAGGGGTTAAAAGCAGAATTCCCAGGAGAACTCGCTCTTTTTGGTTCCGGTCAGCGGTCAGTGCAGGACTCTCCCCTGCCCGGCCACGAGCTGGGTGGGGGAGGGGAGAAGCCATGTGGCCTTTGGAGGTAGGCCCAAGGGTGGAGGGACTGGAACCGGGCTGGCCCCCTGCAGATGGAAGGGTGGAGAAATCTGGGATGTCTCCATTCCCCCCAGAGTCTCTCTCTCTCCCAAGAGAGAAAAAGAGACAGCGGTGGTTTTATCAGCAGTTCACCGCAGGGAAGGAGAAGAGCGGGGGGGCCGCAAGGTGCCCAGCCGGGCTGTGGGAGCTGGAGCCTGGGCAGCGAGCCATCTCTGGGAGTCAGGACTTTTAACCCTTCCTGAGAAATGAAAGCTTTGTGAAATTTTTCTCCTCCTCGGTTTGAAAGAGAGGAAGAGAGACAGCCTGGGACCTGGGATGTTGGAAGGAGAAATTCTAGGTGGGAGGAGATGATGGAGTGGCTTTTGGCTGGACTTTTTCTTGTTAGCCACAGACTGAACTGATCTTCTCCTCCAAGAGAGACTGTATTTTAGGAGGATGCCGGTGAGCCAAAGAGACCATGCTTCAGCTGGGAAAAGACAGAAGTGGAGCGAACAGAGAAAAGTTAAGGAAGTTTGTGGTGGTGCTGCCTGTCTTCAGAGAAGAAGAGAAGAAGATCTCTGTTCTTGGAGCCTCGGCCCCAGGGGAAAATGGGGGGGATGCTGTGGTCCCAAAAATAAAAGACTGGGGTTTTTTTCCCCTCTTGGCAGAGCATCCTTGAAAGGAAAAATCCTAAAAGCAGTCTGTCCTTCCATGCATTGGTGGTGACAGCACTGTGCATGGAAAGGAGAGGGTCACCATTGGCAAACTTTTTTCTCCGGGCGGTGCCATGTGGTGACATGGAAGCACAGGATGTGGCAGCTGTTTCTTGGGGGGTCTGTGGCACAGGAGGGGCTCCTCTCTCCCTTGATGGACTGAGAATCAATTGTCTGGAGGGTGGAAACCTGATTGGGGTCCAGGTTGTGTCTCACTGTGGTTTGTTGGAGTTGGGTGGTGGGAGGAGGAATGCTTTGGAAGGTTTTCATTTTGAATTTTGTGTGTGTTTTTTCTTTCTTTTTCCTTTTATAGTAGTATAGTAGTAGTAGCTTAATAAATTTTTTTTCTTGTTACTAAGCTTGGGCCTGCTTTGCTCTGTTCTCGATCGCATTTCACAGCATTCAATTGAGAGGTGCATTTTCTTGGGGGCACTGGCATTGTGCCAGCGTCAAACCATGACAAATAGAAATCTGGTATTCTTATTATTCTGTGTTCATGTTCTTCACAGGAGTTTATGTAAGCAGATCCTCATATATATGTGTAGAAACCTGCTGAATTCTGTGTGAACTAAGTATTGAGAGGTATTTTTTTTTTCCACAAATGCAACTTGCTTGAAAGAGCAAGTCTCTAGATTTGACTTTCACACATAAATCTCATTCCCCACTTTATATGTGTTCATTTTATCCTCAGCTTCTTTCAGTCTTTCATCAGCAGTGTGAGTATGTAAAATGTACCTACTTCTCAGTGTTTGGGTGTTTGCTAAGCACAAATATAATATTTTACATTTATTAAATTATTTGCATAGGAAATTGTTTTCTACGGGTTTTGTTGTCTGTTTAGATTTGGGCTTTTTTGTAGATAGAATGAGAATTAATAAAACTTCTGTTTTCATCACTCTTTGGCCCAAGAATATATTCTTTTTGTGACATTCATCTCTTACAGAAATTCTCACCTGCTGTATCTTCGTGGGCCAGGCATAATAAAAGGATTCTGCAGGCAGGTTCATGGCACTCTCTGTCAGGCTGGGTAAGCAATATTATTCCTGCTTTCCCAAGTACAAGAACCTTCTACCTTGATGTTTTGGAAGTGTGGGCTCCTTGCTGAGTTGGGTGACCCATGGAAAGAAGAGCAGCACAAGGCTCTGAGAATGTCAGAAGGACCAACAGCCTTCAGATAATCACAGAAACATTGAGTGATTTGGGCACCTTAAAGATCCAACCCCCACTGCCACCTGCAGGGACACTTTCTGCAAGACCAGGCTGCTCAGAGTTGCATCCAGCCTGTCCTGGGACACTGCCAGGGAGGGACAGAACTCTGCATGCTCAAGGACATACAGAAAAGCTTTGCAGTCCATAGGCACCAGCACTACCATAAATTTGGGCTTTGCTGCTAGAGGTGGCTCATCCCAAGTGGCCTCTTGGCAGCAGTGCTTTGTTGGCTCCTGTTGGCAGGCAAGGAGTGCAGAGAGGAGCAGCCAGCTGAATTTCATTGATACTTTGGTGTGCCTGAGGGTATTGCTTTGAAAAAGCAATTCCCTACCTGAACTAAGGAGCAGTTTTGAACTTGCAGTGAGCAGAAGTCAAATTACAAAGGTCAATATTAAAAGCAAGAGTTTTGCTTATAATGTGGATTAAATATTCAGAATCACGCAGAGAAATGTGTGGGCATCCAAATTTGCCTGATAGATCTGGGGCTATCTTGGGTGAACGACACTGCCTTAAAGTAGCTGATGACAGGGCTGTGCAAGTAGATGCTCTGGCACTGTGGTTTTTTCTTGTGGGTTTGTCTGGTTTGTGTTTTGTTGTTGCTTTGTTTCATTTTGTTTTTTTGTCGTGAAGGAGTAGGAGAGGTTTCAGCAAGTATTTAATTCTGATGAAATAGAATTCAGATTTCAGATCCTGTGTATGACTGAACTTTATCTAAAAGAGCTGAAGCACTTCAGCTCACCTGCAGAGATGGCATTGTCCAGCAGAACAGCAAACAGTGCAGGTGGAAATGATTGTTTACAGAAAATTAAGATAAATCTAGATCTATAAGATTTGTTTTTCAGCAAGATGTTTGAGATACCCACATTTTTGAGAAAGCATGGTGAAATGGTAAAGTGAAAATGAGGATGACTGAGGAAATTATGCCAGCCTTCCCAGGAAATGGGGATGGTCCTTTTATGTGTCACATGCATGCTTCAGTGTCCTTGAAGCAGCCTGCCATCATGAGTGCAATCAATTCCTATTCAGGAGATGCACAAAAAACTTCTCTAAATCTAAAAGAAAGAAGCTGAACTTATTTTATAATTATAATGGATGGAAAAGAATTTGGGTAGAGGTTGTAAAAAAGCAATTGCTTCTTGAGTGTGGAAGTGACCTATACGAGCCAAATACTCAGCTGAAGAGTAGAGTAGAAGAAACACAGAATTCCTTCCTAAAACTGTTCTCAGTAGATTTGATTAAATATATTTTTATATTGCTGAAATATAAGTTACAAGCTATATATACTATGCTATAAGTCTTGCACAGTTGAGATATCTGTGCTGTTTCACATTTTTTCCTTTGCTTTTGCTAGACTTTTACCAGTCTTGTGTGTAGTAAAATTTTTACACAGTTTATAAAGCTATACTTATCACCCATTCTCTGCTAAAGCAAAGAACTTATTCTCAGTAGAGTTTTTTCAGTTGTTGGTGTAGCTTCACTAAAGTTGTTACTTGTATTGGGTTTGTAAAAAGATTAAGACCTGAACTTCCATTTATTGGGGAGTAATGTGTAACAGTTTTTGTATCTTCAATGAATTAAAAAAATTCATTGAAGCACTGAATGTGACCAATAAGATGAAAAATGTTCTCTTTTTTAAGTTATTTGGTCCATTCATTTCTGTGGGCCTTCAGTCACAGCCCAAACACAGACTTGATTCCTTAGAATCTTGTCCCTTTAAGCTGTCAGTGCCAATATTCCTGGGGCATACATTTCTCCATACATTAATAACCCAATTTTCTTAATAAAGCAGGGCCAGCACAATCATGGTTTGTGCAGAGGAGAGGGAAGACTGCTTAGCAAACAATGAATGCCAGCTCACAGCTGCACTGAGCTCATTGAAAAGTCCCATTAGGTGAGCACTGAATGCTTGTCCTTAATGAAATGGGGGTGTCTCACTGCAGTGTCTGAGCAGCTCCCAGGGCTTGCTGGCTGCATGGGGGAGGGCTTCTTCCACAGCTTTTCAGTAGGAAAAATAGATAAGAAATTAGGTTGTCCTTTAGCATGAATGACTTGTCCTGAGGAAATCTGCAGGCCAACTGGGAATTTAGTTTACCTCAAGGGCCAGTCTAGTATTTTAGTGGAAAGATCAGGAATATTCCAATTGTCCAGTCAGAGAAATGAAGTAGAGGTCCTATCAAACTTAGTTAACTAATATAAACCTTCCAGAGTAATTCTAAGCAAAATCTTTTAATTCTGTTCCACAAGTCCACTTCTCTGAATTGCAGAGAAGTTTTCTGTCTCTAAGTCAAATGGCCCTAAAAATGTGTGGGCTGATGGTCTGAAATTAAAATCAATTCTACTGGTTAATTATCAGATAATCACTTAAAGTTCTTTTAAAAATGCACTGATGAAGTTGCTCTCATTAGAAATATAAGGATATTGCATCGCTGGGATTTCCAAACTGCCAGATCTTTCCAGCCCCTTAGTCAAATGAGGAGCTCCTTTAAGATCCCTTGCTGAGGTTACTCAAGACACTTCACTGAAATGTGCCCTCTGTTTCAAACTAGAGACAAATTAGTGCCAAATGATGTGCTTTCTCTGAGCTTAGGTGATGCATAATATTTTAAAATATCATTTTGAAGAAACACTAATTGTCAAAACAGTTCTTTTTTTGGTAAACAGAATTTTCATGTTTCTTTTGGTGCTTTATTTTCAGGAAATGTATGCTATTTAAATGCACAAGAGGAAATTAAATGCCTGTGATTTAGCAAAATGTTCACTTAAGGAACCAGCAGTTTTGCTTATTAGCATTTTCTAGCAATTAGAATGT